CATGCACAAGGGCATTCTTCCGTGCCAGATTTTGCAGAAACCTAAGTCGCCTTTTCTTTGGCAGCTTGACGACATAGGCTTTCTTCCAATCAGCAGTTATCTTTCCTTCCTTCCAAACAATTTGCAATAATGGGGTAAGCATATTGTTTGGGTCCGCTTTCAGTACCTCGGTGGGGATTCCGTCTGGTCCTACCGCCTTCCCGGACTTCAGTAACTTGATCGCACTTGAGAATTATGCATTCGTTGGAAGATTAGTGTCCACTGGCCGTTCCGTGAGGGCTGTTGTTAGTATTTTTGGGCGAGTTGCAGGTGATGGTCGATTCAAGAGTCCTTTGAAGTAATCAGCCCATTGTTTTATTTGTCTCTCCCTCTTGGTTATTAGGTTCCCTTGAACCTCTTTTTTGGTTTCATCATCTGGGTTCATCTCCTCTTGGATAGTGAGTGACCTGTTTATGTGACATAATATCCTGAGATCCCTTCTACCTGCAGATAGCTTGTTTTGCTTCACTTGCCAGCCAGTATGTCGTAGAATTGTCGTTTGTCTTTTCTATCACTCCTCTTCACTTATTTATTCAGTATAATGTACAATGAACTCAGCTTTTCCTTCTGTTGCCCATCTTTGCATTGAGTCATCTCTTTCACCACCCGCTCTACTCAGTTATCTTCCAGGTAAATATGCATTGAGAGTTATTCCTCGTCTTGTCTCTTCTTTCTTTCTAGAGCAGTTGTACACGTTTCCTTGAACATCACTAACCTTCAGAGAGTTCCAGTGTTCTTCTACACACAATTTTCCTCATTGATGCCATGCGGAGCTTCCGACTTTGCTCTGATATCTGTAGTGGAGTTATCCCTTGTAGTTTTGTCTTTCACCTTCTGGACGTTGAACATGAATTGTGGCCTGTCTCCAGCTGTTCTGAGGGATTTCAGCTTCACCTTGAAGCTTTCTTGAACTGGATGGCGGTCTGAACCCATATCTGCTCCCCTTCTCAACTTCCTCTCCTGCAGTCTGCATCTTATGTGTAGTTAGTTTAAAATGGTTTCCAACGTAGTTAAGAAATGTATTAAAATCCTGCTTTGAATCAAAACTAGGTACGATCACGCTGACAATTCTTACTTGTTTCTGTTTTAAAAGCAGTAGAAGAGTGAAACGATCGATTTTACAATCATATTCTGAAAAATTCCGTTTCCACTGACCATAGTTTTCCTTAGGAGTTAATTGGTGGATGGTGATTAGCAGTAGTGGAATCCGGCATGAAACGCATCTCTTCCTATTTGGGACTCGTCGGCTAGATGTACCTGCATTCAGCAGGGTGTAATGATGTTCCCGCCGAGGCTCGAACGCAGTGCCCATAGTTCCAAACTCCGAAGAGCTATCCACTAGACCAATTAGTTCATGAGTGGATAGCGCTTTGGCGTTTGAAACTATGGGCATTGGGTTCGAGCCTCGGTGGGAAAATCATTATTCGCTGTGGAATGCAGGTACATCCAGCCGACGAGTCCCAAATGGGATGAGATGCATGGGGCTTCAAGATTGAGCCTTGAAGTTTCAGAATAGACGATATTGTTTTTATGCGATGAGGTTGTTAGCGTCACACCTACCTAGCCTTCCATCTTTACCAATCTTACTACTGGCTGAGTGAAATGTGGGAGCGTGCATCGGTCTGGGAATCGAAACCAAAACCACGAGTGTAGTTGGCCGGTACATTTAGTATGGTCTTTAAACATATTGATGCGAGTCAGTCCTGTGTAATTTGATACTGGCGCATATATCCTCATGAAGTTCTACAGATAATATATATATTTTTTATTTATTTATTTATCACCGTCTGATTTTAGAGACTTATGAAGACGAAATGGGTCTTCAATTTTTTCAAAAGAAAATGCAGTTAATTCAAACCAGGTATTGAGTTACGTTTCGATAAAAGTACCAAAGAACAAACTGTATTAAAATTACGTTAAAATGTCAAATATTAGAGCATTCATAGACCAGAAGGATGTCGAAATGTCTAAGTGGGCCGATCCTAGTGTTTCTTAAGACAAGGACTAAAGTCTAGTAATTAAATTTTCATGAGTTGGTTTTTAGGGAATAAATTTGTTTTTCGAGTTTAATCACGGATTGACATCAGTTAGAGTACTACTGAAAACCAGTACTGGAGTACTGGATAGCTGTTTCGTAAGCCTAGTTTGGTCAGACTCGAAAAACAAATCGACGCTTGATAATTAGTCTGATGCTCGCTAATAGTGACTGGTTACAGGATGGATTTTCCTGGAGTTAGTTCTAGTGAGACGTCATGATCAGTGGGGTCCATACTGTCGCGAGTGAGGTCAAATACACGCTAGCGATGACAGTGTTTTGTGGTAATGCCGAAATCACAGATTTCTAGAAGTTAGAACTCATTTGCTGGCCACTGAGTAGAGTCCAAGTCGCTGAATGGCCTATCAGCTACCTCGCTTTGTAACCGGAAGGTCCTGGGTTCGAAATCCGGTGGGTGAGTACTGCCGATGATACTCAAATAGCTGTGCAGTACCCCAGTGCTGGTTTTCAATGGTTCTCTAGCTGATATCTATTTGCAGTCAAACTCGAGCAATTAAAACTAAATTTGAAGTGTGCGAAGGTTGGTCATCCCAATGAATAATATAGTTCAATTCGCAATTCTATACTGTCGCCTATATCAACCTAAAGAATTCACTGTCAGGTACGAGGACAAATAATTGCCACTGACAGCATCGGCTAGTGCCAGTCGCTCTCTATCGTGAATTGGCAGAAGTTGGAATTCATGGACTAATTGACCATTGGATTGGTGGGTCCCAGTGGCTTAGTGCTCAACAAGCTCGCTGCTTAACCAGAAGGTTATGGTTTTGAAAGTCCGTGGGTGCGCACTGCTGAAGAGTTCCAAGCTAGGCTGACAAAACAGCTTCCCAGTGGTGGTTTTCCCATGAATCATGCATGAAACACTTGAGAAAGCCACCGTTAAAATATGGAACTGCATTGAGCAATTCGTCTAACGTAAGACACTAGATGTAATGGATAGTAGTAGATTAGCAGCAAACTTTTACTCTAATTTATTTCCAGATCACACGAATTTTAATTTATAAAAAAATATAAATTTAGATAAAGCAATAAAAAGACGTAATTTGTCTGAATCGTGTATTGGGTATTCGCGCACAACACATTTCAAACAATCTGATTACACACACGGACTTGTCATAGGAATCTGTATATATGAAACTAATAAAGGTGTTAAGAGGTGAGAAATACAAATAGACTTAGGTCAAATTGATAGGATATAATGAAGGTCAAGGTAACAATGAAGATCATCACTAAACCAAATAACAGAGGTAATGGTAAATCTGCTTTGTATAGGGTAAAAGATACATTTGAATTGGTTAATTTTCTTGACTATATTAATGTTATGAATAAGAATATGTACTCTTTTGATGTAAACTTGTTATTCACTAATGTGCCTCTGCTCAAAACAGTTGACATCTTGTGTGATTACATTTCCACACACACAATTTTTTCATCCCGTTTCCTATATCTTATTTAAGGGATTTATTACTAGTATGTTGTACTATCAATGTTAGGTTTACATTTGAAGGCGATTGCTCAAGCCAGGTCGGTGGTGTTGCTATGGGAAGTCCGTTAGGACCCCATTTAGCAGATATTTATATGTCGTACACTGAGAGTTTATCCGAGGATTTAATCGAAAATTCGCCACTTTATAGAAGGTATGTAGATGATATTGTAATCATCAGTGATAAGTCTTGTTCTGCCACCTCAATTTTAAATCGAATGAATGAAGTTCAGAATAGCATATCACTTACATCTGTCTCTAGAAGAGGAAGATAATTGTTTATCTTTCCTAGACATATTGCTTAGTTGACGGACAGGATCCTAATTATCACAGTTTTGCCGTGTTCGGTACAAAAGAGCCTTAGTAAGGTGCCTCTTCAGTAGAATCCAACGAATTTGCACTGAAGACACTTGATGAAGAAGAAAGAAAGTTGACACAAACTCTGGTTGATAACAATTATCCAAACAAGTTCATCAGGAGATATAAAGTAGTCAGAACACCAAGACCCACTCACTCTCCAACTCGTTACTAAGAAAGACGTGTATATCAAGCTACCTACCCTATATGGGGCATCATAGCAGCTTGATAACTAGACAAAGACTGAACGCTGCTGTGGTCAAAAAGACTTTCTATGCAGCTAATATCTTAATAATTAGGAATGTGAAGCGAATATATCAATACATCCATCTATCGAAGCCCTTTGAACACATGCGGAAAATGATGTCACATCCTACTGTTGTATTTACCAACTTGAATTTACGTGTGGACACACACACATACATAGAAGGGAGGACTCATCGATCTCTTCAAGTAAGGACTGGCTTCAGAGCATATTCCTAAATAGCTCCAGAAACAAATAGAATCTTCAGAATCCATTAATATTGAGAACAGACGAAGACCTAGCTCCTCTATTGCGAAACATATTGTAGAGGGGACGGGACATAAAATTGATGTTTTCACACGTCTTTTACACCCGCCTATAAAAAGTGTTTGGGGGAGGGCGTATCCTAAATTTTATGGAAGCCCTAGCTGACAATTAGAAAGCTTAAACCACCTTTATGCGTCAAAAGCAACAATTCGTCATCACGCTGAACCACCTTCCTTGGTAAACCCTGTTTTGATACCATAGCAAATATACTTTTACCTCTTTTATATGGTTTAATGAGCGATCTTCATTGTTATTTTCACCTCTAATTTGTCCTTCCAACTTGTACCTAAGTTTATTTCTATTTCTCACCTCTTAACTCTTTATTAATTTCATGTACACACATTCCTATGACGAGTCCGTGTGTGTGATCAGATTGTTCGAAATTTGCTGTACGCAAATACCCAATACACGATTCAGACTAATTACATCTTATTTCTTTGTCTAATTTCACAAAGGGAACTAATTGTATTAAAGAAATATATATATCAACTACTTACCTGAGTTGCTATAAATGCATTCTGTTTTCTGTAACCATCAATATAATTAGCATTGATATAATCTGATCCTGATATATTCATATGATTACTTGATTGTATTGTCACCCGTGTACGATCATAGGCTAATATATTTGGATATCGATTTTTTGACTTATTCATATCTAAATTTGAATGTACTGCACTGATATATCGTGACTTTGATATCTGTTCTATAGCTTGAAATTCTTGTTGAAAGTTAATATAATTATTACTTCTTGCTTGATAAATTATTTCTTGTAATTGGTCAACTGGTATAGGCATACGATGAACTGAAAATAATTATACAACCGTGAAAATTTTATATTTAGTTTTATACTACTCATAAGTAGATAGTGAATCACACAAATATTTTACAGAACAGACAGATGGTCCTAGTTCAATGTGGTTCAGAGCATTAGTATTATTATTCCCTTGGGTTCCAAGTGGAGCATAGGGCTTCAACAACAGATCTTCACTTTCCTCTTCAATTTTCTTTGGTCCTCTTCAGCTGGCTGGGACCACGATTTCCCATAATCTATCATCTGCTCATCCCCAACACACGTTCTCCCACATGTCACCCTAGGATGATCCACTCGTCGTTTCCTATTCGGGTTCCACCCGAACAATAACCTGCATTGAGTGACCTGTCGTTTGATGGCCTCCTCACTTGCGTGTGCCCTGTCTGTCTCCATTTTCTCCTACATATTCGTTGAGCAATCGGCTCTTGATTGACTTGTTGCCAGAGTTTCTTGTTACTAATTCTTTCTCACCAGTCATTTGATCTTCAGTATAGAGCGAAGGCAGTCCTACTCGTGACACACCAAGTTTCTGACGCGTATGGAAGAACTCACTTCACATATGTGCTACAAATTATAAAACCCACGTATTTGTATCCAAACCGAAATGAAAGTTGTTTCATAGTAAATAGTAAGCACACACTTCTTACGTGCCATTTAGTATATAAGGTTTCCAGGTTGGATAACAAGTTGGTATTAGTTAGTACATAACTGGGAACCAAGGAGTACTCGACATTTGTTTCGTCCTAATTTGAGAATCTTCATCAGCACAAACCATAGGAGTAAACAGCTGTTTATTACTCCTTGGTTTTTGGTTGTTCCGTAATTGACGTCCATCAATGATTGAACTTTAGATGAAACAAATCCCTACTAACCAGTACTTGAAAATTAATCTGACTGTCACTATTAACTGACTACAGGAGGAAATTGCTTGAAGTTCCTGTAAGAATTCGTGACTAGTGGGGTATAACAGGTCGGTTGCAAGGATATATATGTATTTGCAGATGACATTGGTCGACAGCTGTGCCGTATATAGCGGATTAGTAGAAACTTAAAATCATAGGCCACTGGGTTAAATGACTGCGGTTGAATGATGTATGAGCTCTCCTCATGATCTGAGGGTGTTGCATTCAATCCCCAGTGGAGCCGTTGGTGCGTACTGTTGAAGAGCCTCGAACGTAAGCAGTGAGACAACTATCCAGCTCTACCTATATTTGTATTGCTTCGCTAACTGACATCAATCTGTGGTTCAGACTTGATTAAACTATGCAGCATTGAAAAAATTCTTCTTTATCAGAAGTACTCAGCCACAATTACGGAGTATGCTCCACTAAGTTGGATGTAAGGCTGATATTCACCAGTGACACTGGCCAGCGATTGCACTTTATCACACAATTTATTAAGTTTAAAACTCATAAACCATTTTGGAAGCATTAAAAGATTTTAATTCGATACCTTGTATGGTAATGGGTACGCGGTGCTAGACGCTCTCAGATTTGGATGGAAAACCTTTAAGCTTCCCTCTTTTGACCTTTATTAATTCGCCAAGTGAAGCTGATTTCTCCGAGTCAGTTAGATTCTCAAACTTGTGATTACAATTTTGATTATGATAGAAGTGTATAAGGGACTATTTCTACCTCCGGTGCCCTATTCAGTTACAATCTCTCCTTTTCATAAGTCGAAATTTTGGGTTGAATTTGCATTTATTTGAGAAATCCCCTCCAACAAACCAATAAGTAGACTGTAAAAATTCATATCTCAGGGGAACGGCCTTCCGGTGAAGTTTTCACCTTGCTAATGACTTTCAACGGGGAGGAAGATAGCGCATATCACCCAACACTTTCTCACAAGTGACTACTTCAACATAAATTTCTCTCAAGTGCTGGTTTTTGTAGGGATTTGACTGGTTACATTTTGGCGTATGCTACTGATAAGATTTGTCAGTAGTATATAAAGATACACACAAACATATCAAATAGCAACCAGAGAGATTTGATGTCAGAGAAAGCAAATGATTCAGTGTTGCAGGGAAACACGGGTGACGTGAAAGGAACACAAAGAAAGGCACACCATATGAAGGGAGTGCACGAAGTAGTACAACACAGAAGATCTGTACAAATGGTGCGTTGAAGATAAGGTGTACATTATTTGGCTTTATAGAGATTCCATAAGCTGACATTTGTTAGAGTACCATTGAAATACCAGCTGGAAGCATTGGATAGCTCTTTTACCAGCCTAATTTCAGACTCTTTATCACTACTCATCTACCGCCAGGGTCCCAGCCCGGGACCTTCCGGGTTTTTGTAATCGAAAAACAAGTTATTCTGTTCATGTAGCTGAAATTCAAAATATACTATTTAGATGAATCTCCTGTGCGTCGGTGGCACAGAGTTTAGGATGCTCACCGACCCTGCACATGGTCCCGGGTTCGATCCCCGACCACTAAACGCACTCCTTTACCTCGCTAAGCCAGAAACTAAAAAGCTGGTGCAGAGTGAAAGGTTAGGCATGAGGCTAGCAACCCCCATTCTGTAAAAAATAAACAACTCTGCATTTATTCCCCTTGATGAATTTAAATAAAGCAAGAACAGCAGTGGTTTGTGCAGAATAATATGGTACCATCATTTATTTCGTTGGCTTCTCATCAGCTGCTTACAGCCTAAATAAATTGTGAGGTTTACGTACAGAAAAGTTATAACATACTTGCAAATTTTACATGTTGTCAGTTGACAGAAAGTTCCACAATTAGTAAAAAGTGTTCAGAAAATTGTGCTCATATAGTTTTTACACAGGCAGTTCAAGTCAAAATAAATGTATGCATACAATGGTAAAGGAGTTAAGTAATAAAGACGAGAGGTGAGTAAGATGATGAGTAACTAATAATATAATTTGTAATATTGCTTGTCTCTTGTTTCTATGACGTGATTTGAACTCAGTACATCGTTACCAAATTTATTAGTTACTCATCATCTTACTCACCTCTCGTCTTTATTACTTAACTCCTTTACCATTGTATGCATACATTTATTTTGACTTGAACTGCCTGTGTAAAAACTATATGAGCACAATTTTCTGAACACTTTTTACTAATTGTGGAACTTTCTGTCAACTGACAACATGTAAAATTTGCAAGTATGTTATAACTTTTCTGTACGTAAACCTCACAATTTATTTAGGCTGTAAGCAGCTGATGAGAAGCCAACGAAATAAATGATGGTACCATATTATTCTGCACAAACCACTGTTGTTCTTGCTTTATTTAAACACCTCTGCTACAGAAACTTCAAGCCTCTCTCTAGCTTGAAGCCGCCCTATGTTCCGCCACTGGGAACGTCAATGAATAATAAATAAACCTCCAACTTACTTTCAATAGTTCCATCACGAAACAGTTGATTGAAATTCTCCATCATACTTGTTGTACCCGATTTCGACTGGATATTAAACAATGGTCTATTCATCACAATGGCTTCAGCAGTAGTACTGTTAACACTTCTTGTCGGTGATTCACATTTTTCTCCTAAACTGTTGTTTACACTGTTCATATGTACTGATCTAGTAATTACTGGTGATATATCTGATATAGTTAATTGATTTGTTGATGAAGCTAATGGCGACATGATATTCGTACCGACGGATAGTCCACCTGTACTTGGTCGTGGAAGATTTAGGCCTAGGATACCACTGCTTGAATTCGATGGACTGCGTGATCCTTCTTCTGTACGGATGTTTAAAAAGTAATTTGAGGGATGAGAATTTATAAAACTATTATTATTATTTTTCGAGGCAAAACATTTAGTTTGTGAACTGTGTGATCCAGATAAATTTTCAGCAGCAAATATTGATTTACTCAAATCTCTACAGATTTGTGCATCCCATTGATTACTTGATTCAAGTGCTGATCTCCGAGCCAGCTGTTGCTTTCTACGCCGTAGAATACAACCAAGTATTGTACTCAGGATAGCGAAAAATATTAGTCCACCGGCTAGACCAATTAAAATGATAGTGAATGAAGATGATTCTTGAAGATTCCATGTGAGTGTTTTATCTTTGATTGGTTTCAGATTTGACAACCTGTTAACATTCTCTGAAAGGATGGAGGATATTCTCTCAGACCATTGGCTTGTTGAACATAACTGACGACCATCGGAATACTAGAAGAAGGAGGATAAAGAGTAAACAATATAAAAATTATTCACATTTTTAATAATTTATGTATATCGATGTTTCAGTGGTTGGTAGAATACTCACCAACTGTGTGCATGGTCTGAGGTTCGGCTCTTAAATTTCGCTTAGCCATTAGTAGGCTTGGTAAGGAGGAAAGTTGGGCATGAGACTAACAACCTCACCTCGTAAAAAAGAAAAGCACAGCTGTCAAATATCTAGGTCGGAGAGATCCTGGATGTATCTCTGGATTCAGAAGACTAAGCCTAATACGCGGAACGCTACGCAAGGGAACCGACAATTGGGCAACACGATTCTTTATTCTTCAAGTGATAACAAAGCTGATTTACAACGGTTAATCAGGGCCAGATTCTGTAAAAAAAAGTTAATACAATGTGCAACAACACTTCCGATAGTATTTCTGTAATCTTCTGCCACCCAGCACACGATTAAAAGCAATGGCAGCCTTCTTATCTCCCGCCAATATGGCGATTAGTTCGAATAAACAAACGATTTAATGTTCAAGAGCATTGATAACCACTTCTAGTGAAACTTTTTAACTTAAAGCCACATGTTCCACAAGGAACACTTGCGCTTCAATATGTCAAACTCTTGAACTTCGATGTGTCAGACATTTTTCTAGGCATGATTATACTACTTAAATTATACTACTGAACGCTGTACCCAATTCAAGAAACTAGCTTGAAATAAGTATAAAACTTGGGCACAGTGGTATAGTATAACTGCATTATGGATAAAATTTCATTTTGATAAATCACATAGTGTAGTGTGTGTGTATTGACATAACTTTCTTGCTTCCTTTATATACATGAGAAGAAATTGATGATTAGACATTTGAATAAAAATCACTATAAGATAAAGTACATTCAGAAATAATAATATGAGTGTTATCAATCAATTACAATCAGATGGGAAATAAGACGAGTGTTTTTATAGTCAAATAAGTGCGTTGGTGGCACAGTGGTTAGGACTCTCGCCGACCATGCACATGGTCCGGGGTTCGATCCCCTGCCGGCGCACACCCGATATCTATGGTCGGCCTGAATTTGGGCTACCGATATCCATGCTGAAAATTCCACACTTGTACTGAAAATACGGTGTGGAATCAAGCTGTAATCAAAATAAAAATAAAATAAATAAATAAGTAACTTGTTCGAATGTTGTGATGTGTTTGAACTGAAATAGAATTTGAAGATTATTTATTATCCTCCTCTAATTGGACTGACTGGTGGTAATAATATATTCCATATCTCTGGTATTTGCATTGAGTCATTTCTGTTGTATGTGTTCGGTGTGTAGATTCAATGAACAAGGATTCAGTAATCAACCTCTCCCTCCACCTACCTAGATTACTTCTTAGAATTTTAACCCTCTCCCACCCTATTGTGTGGTTGTGTGATAATGCATACATTGCAATCGCTGAGCTTTTTTCTAAATTACTCATCTGTCTCCGCGGGGGAAATCATTCTAACCTTAGCCACTAAATTCTTATGTTCTGATAATCTCGCTACTCCTGATCTACTAGTTTGACCTATGTAGTTGACCTCACTCACAGTCATTGCAAGGTATTTTGTAAATTATATTATTTTGTTTAACTGGGACAACCAACAGGGTCCTTTAACCTGCCTACAAAGCTTGTCCTATCTGAGTGAGTTATTTCCCATTCTGTTGTATTTTATTGATAACACTAATATTATTTCCGAATGTGTTTTGTCTTCCATTCTGTTTCACGTAAGATTTATATTGATTTTATTTAAATGTCTAATCCATTTTTACTCATGTGTATAAATGAAGCAAGGAAGTTATGTGAGTACCTTGATATGATTATGATTGGCGGTAATTTGTGCTGGAAACGTGGTCATCAGTAAATATTACTGTACATCAGTGTGATTTCTCAAAGTCAGTTTAAATTTTATTCGTACAATTAAACTACTTGAAGTTTTTATAGTAGGCAGTTTTAAAGCATGAAAATGTTGAGCTTGTAGATGCACTATTCGGGTGAACATCTAATAATAAAGCAACTTACTGTTTAAAGTCATTTTAATTTGAAATTTCTAACTGACCAACTGTTTATTTATAATTATGAAATATTTCATCTGAATAGACATCTGAGTAACACCTTAGTATACCGGAGTGGATGGAAACTATGTCAATTCAGACATTCCTGTAGATAGATCTTATTGTCCTATCATATTGGCGCTTTGTAAGTACATGTAAATACCGCAGGTACTCCTTAATCTCTTCCATGCTTGTTAACCATATACCACTTTGTACTATATTCATACAGTTAAGAATCTCCGTTGCATCCGTTTATAAGTTGGCCTGTCTACAAGAAGCCAAGCTGGAAGGGACTATGTCTGCATTATCATAGTTTCTCCGAACTCTTATATAAAAAATCGTTATCCAAATGCATATTCTGATGTATTCAACTCGTACGTGATGAGAATATCATCTAAAAAGAAGGGTAAGACTCCGCTGAAATGTTATTAGATAACAAGGATCCTCTTGAATTTATTAAACGCAATACAAGCGTTAAACAAAGGACTTCGCCAATGTAATACGCCTCCCAAGGCTATCTTTGTATAACATTACAATTTAATGGTCATTACCAAAGTTTGATCACTAAGCGAAGACTCATAACGGTGGTCAATACAACTTACTATGTAGCTGAATTCATTCTCATACAGAAAACGAAATCTACTTCATCCTGTTTTCTGTTTTCTTTCTTCTTGCATGACTTGCCTCACTCCGATGAAATGAACTTTGTTAAGTATGCGGACCATCTAACTATTTCAATGTCTGTTAACTCTCAACTTGACTGTATTAAGATTAACAGCTTTCTATCAGAAATTAGTAAATGGTCTTCGTCTAACAACCTTAAACTTAATCCTTCCAAATGTCAGACTGTTAATTCCAGTTTCCGATGTAAACGAAAGTTAAATGAAGCCGTTGGTTCCTATGACCCTTGCAAAATCGATGATACTGATACAGAAACCCAGTCTGAAGTTAAGTATCTTGGATTAGTTCTCTCTTCTGACCTATCTTGGTCTTCTCATGTCTTAGCGATTTCTCAAAGAGTATTTCGTCTGACTTTTTACATTAAGAAGTTGAGGCACTCAGGCATAACCCAACCACTCCTCTTACGGTTTGTCAACTCGTGTATTTTACCTATTCTTCTTTACTGTTCACCATTATTCTTTCCTGGATTGCTAAAAACGGACTATGTCATACTTCGTAGAACTCTGAAGACTGTCAGTAGGACGAGTGGTATCCCATTGGGCCATATCGTTGGCATTGTCACCGATAGGCACTTGATGTCATGCAACAGATTCGCCAGAGGAATTTTGTCAGACTCTGAGCACCCACTCTACCAGCAGCTCCAGCCTTGTGTCTCCTCAGGTAAAACAAGAAGTCTTTTCAGAAGACTTTATGCACGTACGTCTAAGTATAAAAATTCCGCTATACCATATTTAGCACGTACTCTATGTGATGAAAATAGTGTCAGAAATGAAATAACTAACCTTCTTAGCACCACTAAATAGACCATTTCCTTCAACCCTAAAGCATCATACTTTATTGTTATTGTATTTCTTATATTTATAATCCTCTCAATTTTTTCGTTTTGTTTATTTTATTTTTCATAGTTGTGGACATAATTTTAAGCTGTATTATGACTGTTAACTTTGTATTTCACCTTACTATACCATAACAACAGAACATTAGACCCAATTATCCATAACATGCTAAAGTTTCCAAACTGAATCGACAATACCGTTTGAAACAAACTCACTGTTATTAGTATTTATTATTATTATATCTAATAATTATGTCGTTAATGTGGACAAATTCCTCCGATTAATTTTGTTTTAATTTTTAATTTTATATACACTTTGAGTAAATCAGATGCTATATTGTGACAAATGCTGAGAATTCCATTCTGTATAATAAGTACTGTTTTTGGAATAAAGTAAATTATTATTATTAAGTCCTAACAGCATATGAATAATAGTGTTGCATCTCACTGTGTTTATCGATATGCATGTGCGTAGCCAGATGTACATTAGGAGAACCGATGGATTTGATTGACTGGATACATGGACCAGGTTATTTTGTTCCTATGCATTCTGAGTGGGACATAGGGCTTCAAACTTGAGCTTTGAAATTTTGGGAGCAGTGGTTTTGTCTTTACTGGGTGGGGTTGCTAGACTCACGTCTGACCTTACCTCTTCACAGGCCCTACTAACGGCTTAGTAAGGTTAAGGAGTGTGTCGGCCGGGGATCGGACCAAGAACCACATGAATGGTTGACGAGCATTCTACCGTTGAACCACCGACTCACTGCAAGTACGACTAAAATTGCTTAATTCAAGTGAATCTGAAAATAGACGCCCAACATTATCTATCACCAAGCCCATCATCAACATGGATGCCTTTGGAACCATATATATAACAGGTTCAGTTCATTAACTTTATTTTATTGAAACTTTAGCCACAAAAATATGCTTAATTCCATCTCATTCATTCAAAAAATTACTTAATTTTACAAAAAAAAGACAAATTCAGAGAAGAAGATTTTCTTTGTTCAAGTATTGGTTTGTTGGGATTTGGTTGATTGGTTACAGGATTTTCATCATAAGCTGACATTCGTTAGAGAACCATTGGAAAACCTGGGAGTACTGGACAGCTGTTTCGTTCTAGTTTGAGTCTCTTAAGCAGTACGCACCCACCGGGGTTCGAACCCAGAACCTTTTGGTTACAAGGCGAGCTCGTGGATGATTAAGCCACTGGGACCCGATCCAATGGCCAGCCCATGAATTCTAACTTCTGCCAATCCACGATATAGCGCAACCGCTAGTCAATGTCTTCGGCGAGTATTTGTCCTCACACCCGACCTGCTGCACCCTACTGGTCACGACTTCCCACTGGAACCTCAGGTAACTACCTACCTGAATAGGGCCAGTCGCTAGTGA